GAGAAAGAATTTGATCTCTAAGCCCATATTTCCTTAAACCTCTTAAAAAAAGAAAACAAAATATATAAGGGCAGGGACTTTGTCTTGTTCTACACCTAGAAAAGTACCTTGCTATCTAGTAAAAGTCCAGTAAATAGTTGTGGCATGATAGTCATTTATTCATTCAAGATTTATTTATTGAGTGCCTATTTGGTGACAGGCAGTATTCTGGGTACTGGAAAGAAAACATGAATAAAGGGATGAACATTCCTGTTCTCATGGACCTTACCTTCCAGTAGGGGGAACAGGCATTAAATGAGTCAAATATATACCAGATCATCGTAAATGCTAGGGAAAATAAGGAAGATAGGGAGTGGTGGGTGGCAATTTTAAACAGGATTATCAGAGGAGGCCTTGCTGACAAAGTGACATTTGAGCAAAGACTTCAAGGGGATGAGGGAGTGAGAAATATGGAGATCTGGGGCAGCCTTTCAGGCAGAGGGAACAGCAAGCACAAAAAATCACAGGTGGAAGCACCTCTGGTATGTTCATGGAAGGGAAAGGAGGGAAGGGAGGCCAGAGTGAGGGGAAGGTGAGAGAAAATAGAGAGGTATTAGTGGTCCAGATGTCAGAGGGCTTTTGCAGTTCCTGGTAAGGACTTTATATTTTACTCTAAGTAGAGAAGTCGCTGGAAAGTTTTAAGTGGAAGAGGAACATAACTCTTAAAAAGATCACTCTGGGCCAGGAGCAGTGGCTCACACCTGTAGTCCTAGCACTTTGGGAAGCTGAAGTGGGAGGACTGCTTGGTCCCAGGAGTTCAGGACCAGTCTGGGTAATATCAAGACACTCCCCACCGACCTGTCTCTACAAAAAAATTAGCCAGCATGGTGGTGCACACTGGTAGTCCCAGCTACTTGAGAGGCTGAGGCAGGAGGATCACCGGAGCCCAGGAGTTGGCTGCAGTGAGCTATAATGACTGCACTCTAGCTGGGGTAATGGAGACCCTGTCTCAAACAAAACAAAACAAAACAGCCCAAATCATTCTTGCTGCTGGGTTAAGACTATAAACTTTGGAGGTATCAAAGGCAGAAAGAGGAAGATCAGTTAGGAGGTTACGTTGGGTAATCTAGGCAAGAAAGGGTAGTAGCCTGAACCAAAGTGAGAAGTGATTAGATTCTGCGTATGCATTGATTGAATGAAACTTATTTTATAAGTGTAGTGCAAATTTAATTTCCTTAAGCAAGGTAGAATTTGGTGGGCCATGAGTTGATACAGAAGAGATCTGGGTTTTACTCCCAAATCTAACTCTTCATTTCTCCATCCACAAAATGGAAAAAAAAAACCTAGTTATCATGAGGATAAGGTTAACAGCAACCAAATTTGAAGTTCTGGGAAAGGTTCTCTTCTTGCCCACTGTATAAAGCATATGCGTGCACCTCACTTCTCAGGCAAATTATTTCCAACACGATCACCACGAACTAACTGGAAAATGTCCAAACTTTCCTAAAGAAGAAAAGGTGGGGCAGGGGGAGGGGGAGGCACATGGAAAACAGGAGAGAAATGTTTCAGTGGCTGCTAGTTTCTTTTGTTTTTTTTTTTTCCAGAGCTTTATTTACAAGTGGCTGGAACAACACTGAAAAGAAGGTATACAACATTCCTGGCATTTCCCCCGATATGATGAAGCTAATCATTGAGTACGCATACACCCGGACTGTGCCAATCACACCGGACAACGTGGAGAAGCTGCTGGCTGCTGCAGACCAATTTAACATCATGGGTATTGTCAGGGGTTGCTGCGAGTTCCTCAAGTCGGAGCTGTGTTTGGATAATTGTATCGGCATCTGCAAGTTCACGGACTACTACTACTGCCCTGAGCTGAGGCAGAAGGCTTACATGTTCATACTGCACAACTTCGAGGAGATGGTGAAAGTCTCAGCAGAGTTTTTAGAGCTCTCAGTCACTGAACTTAAGGATATCATTGAGAAAGATGAGCTCAACGTCAAACAGGAAGATGCTGTATTTGAGGCCATCTTAAAGTGGATTTCTCATGACCCCCAAAATAGAAAGCAGCACATTTCAGTTTTGCTTCCTAAGGTTAATTTTGATTATTTTTGTGAATTTGTATTTGTTCACTCTTGATTCATTTATCCTAGTGGGATTGTCCTAAAAAGCCACATTCAGACCTATGACAGATTCCAGAGCTGTATTTACATGTGCTTATATAGAAGGCATTTCCTACTATTCTCTGGCATTTTACAACTTTCTTTCCCCTTGGCATCGTTAGTGTCTGTTTACCCCAGTTGTATTCTTTGACCAAAATTCTCCCTGGTGGTGGGGAAAGAGGAAGGCCTTCAAAAGAATTCTAGAGTCTTCCTTTCACCCTTACTTACTTACTCTGTGAGTTTCTCCATACCCAAGGTAGAAGTTGGACTAGGAACCAAATCATAAGTATTGCACACAATTGTGGCCAGTTGGTGCTAATTAGTGTTATTTTACATACAGAGCCAGAGATATTCAATTACTGAACAATGACTACAGCTTTTTCTGGTTTAATAGTTCTGTCCAGTGGCTGAGGAATGGGCTCATTCTGTGACCACTTAAGGTGCCTTCTATCTAGCTCATTCTCAACATCCAAACGTATACCACTTCCCAAAAGCAAATATTTTATTTATTTTTGAGACAGAGTGTTGGTCTGTTGCCCGGGCTAGAGTGCCCTGGCATCAGCCTAGCTCACAGCAACCTCAAACTCCTGGGCTCAGGCAATCCTCTTGCTTCAGTCTCCCAAGTAGCTGGGACTACAGGCATGCGCCACTGTGCTCAGCTACTTTTTTCTATATATATTGTTAGTTGTCCAGCTAATTTCTTTCTATTTTTAGTAGAGACGGGGTCTTGCTCTTGCTCAGGCTGGTCTTGAACTCCTGAGCTCAAACGATCCACCCGCCTCGGCCTCCCAGAGTGCTAGGATTACATAGGCATGAGCCACTGTGCTCGGCCCCAAAAGCAAATATTTAAACTGGGAGTTATACATTTTGAAACAAGCCAAAATATTTTCAGCAATTCAAAGGCAGACTGTTAAGTTGGAGTTAAGCATATGGTATTTCCAGGCACCCTCACCTCAGTTGAACGACTTTCTGTGTTTCTTTCTTAGGTTCGCCTGGCTCTAATGCATGCTGAGTACTTCATGAACAATGTTAAGATGAATGACTATGTCAAAGACAGCGAGGAATGCAAGCCAGTCATCATTAATGCCCTAAAAGCCATGTATGACCTAAACATGAACGGACCCTCTAATTCTGACTTCACCAACCCACTCACCAGGCCCCGCTTGCCCTATGCCATCCTATTTGCGATTGGTGGCTGGAGCGGTGGGAGCCCCACTAATGCCATTGAGGCATATGATGCTCGGGCAGACAGATGGGTGAATGTCACTTGTGAGGAAGAGAGTCCCCGTGCCTACCACGGGGCAGCCTATTTGAAAGGCTATGTTTATATCATTGGGGGGTTTGATAGTGTAGACTATTTCAATAGTGTTAAGCGTTTTGACCCAGTCAAGAAAACTTGGCACCAGGTGGCCCCGATGCACTCTAGACGTTGCTATGTCAGTGTGACAGTCCTCAGCAATTTCATTTACGCCATGGGAGGATTTGATGGCTACGTGCGTCTCAACACTGCTGAACGTTATGAGCCAGAGACCAATCAATGGACACTCATTGCTCCCATGCACGAACAGAGGAGTGATGCAAGTGCCACAACACTCTACGGGAAGGTAAAGAACCGGGGCAAGAAGGAAAGGTGTGCGAACAAAGACTAGGCCCAGAAATGATGCTGTTCTTCCTTTCTGGGGGTGGATGGAAGACAGAAAGTGGCAGTATCTTTGCAGTACTCACTCCTTCCTCAAATGACTAAGTGGCTATTTGTAATTATCTTTTATTTTACTTATTAAAAAGCAATGCATGCACACATGGAAAAAAGAAATTCAGAATATGCAGACTGAAACAGCCTTTTTTCCTACTCCCCAGAGGTAACAATGTTAATGATCTTGGAACTCTCTTCATACAGGTCTACATATGTGGTGGGTTTAATGGAAATGAATGCCTGTTTACAGCAGAAGTGTACAACACCGAGAGTAACCAGTGGACAGTCATAGCACCCATGAGAAGCAGGAGGAGTGGGATAGGTGTGATTGCTTATGGAGAACATGTATATGCGGTAAGTTTATCTTGTACTACAACAAAAACCGTGTCCCCTAGATTTTCTATTAGCAAACAGGTTTACACTACCATTGGTAAGGATTTGAAAAACTTTTTTCATGGAAGATAATGGAAGAGGGAGGTATGAAATCAGTTTCCCCGCCGCCTCCCACCCAGCTTCCACAGTGAACAGAGACAATGGTTAGCAGTCAACCCTGTTGCATTTCTTTTGCTATTCACAGGTAGGCGGCTTTGATGGAGCGAATCGACTTAGGAGTGCAGAAGCCTACAGCCCAGTGGCTAATACTTGGCGTACGATCCCCACTATGTTTAATCCTCGTAGCAATTTTGGTATTGAGGTGGTAGACGACCTCTTGTTTGTGGTGGGTGGCTTTAATGGCTTTACCACCACCTTTAATGTTGAGTGTTATGATGAAAAGACCGATGAGTGGTATGACGCTCATGACATGAGTATATACCGCAGTGCTCTGAGCTGCTGTGTGGTTCCTGGGCTGGCCAATGTTGGGGAATACGCAGCTAGACGGGACAACTTCACAGGATTGGCACTGCGAGATGAAGTAAAGTATTCTGCTTCGACAAGTACCCTACCTGTATGAGCCTCTTCATTTAGCTAATAAAAAGTCTAAGCAGTAAGAATTAATTCTTTTTTTAAATAAATGCAGTGTTAAAACTTCTAAGAGTACTGGAAAATGTTCAACTTAAGGGAGCCCAGGGCTGGATGAATGAGGGTGTAGGAGGGAAGGAAGAAGGCAATTATATTCAACAGTGCATAATTAAAGAAGGAAAAAAAATCACACAGTACGAACTAGCTCTAAAGAAATATGTTTATTTAAAACTTACATTGAGACAATTAGTAGCTTTAACACAGAACAAGATAGCTTCAGGAACATAAACAAGCTATTTTATAATGCCATGTCTCAAAGTGTTCTAAATACTACATCTCCTCTAACTTAAAGGCAGACAATCAACGTTATACTTTTAGTAGAGTAGGGCCCTAGATACTGCTAGCCCAAAAAACTCACTGTATCAATTCAAACTAAGTATTTTTTACAAAAATTCAAGGAGCCCTAGCACATGGATCATAAAATCTTCAAATATCTAGAGCAAGTACTACTTTTCACCAGTGCATTATGCAGGAGGATTAAGTTACAAGTGCTCTATAGTATGTGCTTCAATGTAAGACATTTGTAGTGATGGTCATATAGAGTAAGACAGAAGCCCTACAAAGTGACAAAGAGCAGTCATTTGGCTAATTAAATTCCTTGAAGCAAAATGACTACCATGTTGTGTTGTTGTTATTGTACTACATCACTCAACTATGAGCTGTTTTGTTTCTAATGACCAGAAGGTATGTTATTATGAAAGCATTGTAACAAAACCCAAAATGGACTATTCTCAAGAAAGTGACAAACCAGAGTGATGAACTGTGCCAAAATATTTGACAGTTAAGGAGAGACTGAATTGTTTCTCAAATATTCTACAGATAAAGCACCCTATTTTTCTAGTGTAGGCAGAGTACTTGCTTCACAGTACTGTATACTTTCAAAGACATGAAATGTGGCCAATATACCCTTCTTATTTAAGCTTAATTTGAGGAAAATACCAAAAAAGTCCCTTTAGTTATATCTGATTAGACCAAGTAACTAAAATATACAATTCAGCTCACCTGTATTACAGTATAGGGTTGATATTAGAATTATGAAGCAGAAAATGAAATATTTTAAACATACCACATGCTACACTAGTCAAGAGATAAAGAGGAAAAAAGTGTGCCCCAGGAACTGCCTTACTAGCAGCCTGAAGTATTTAAAAAACAAAAGCACACAAATCTTCCATAAATATTATCTTTCTAGCTTCAAATTTCTGTTCTACATTAAAAGGTATTTAATTTTTGGTCCCAGAAATACTATACAAAACTAGGTGATCAAAACAAAACTGATGTCAATGAATTTTAAGAGTTTTTGGCAAAAATGTTATGTTTGAACTGGCACAGCAAAAGCAATGTTGAATATCAAGGTACACAAGACTAATCATGCAAACAACTGCAAGTGTGATGTATTACTTAAACACTAAGCTCATGACTGACATTCTCAATATATATACCATTGATTTTTTTTTTAAACCATGGTGGGATAGGTATAGTTAAAGGATACCCATTCTAAGATATAAGTAGCCTCCCTCAAAATTATATATAGTTATCACTTTTTGGTATAATTCTCTCTCCCTTCCACCAAACAAAAGCAAAAGAAACAAAGGTTTGTTTGAATACACATTAAGCTGTCTTCTAAAGCCATGTGTTTAACTGCTTAAATCACCAAACACAATCTTTGAGTTTTCATCTAAAAGGAAATTTCTTTCCCAAGAAGCCGTTTTTAGGCCTGGTCTTCATAATTAGAACCTTTCCAAATACCATGGGAAGTTATTTCCAGCTTAGAATTTTAGAATGTCAGCCTTGAACAGATTTAAGCAAATCTGGTTTCTTTCCTTATTAACAAGTTAGTTAGACTATTTCAGAAACACAAGTTATTGATGTGAAATCACAAATGTGAATTCAAATATAAAAATTAGAAATCCAGTAGTCAGGAAAACCTGCACACATCATCATGCAACGACGGACTTACCCCTTCTTTTCAGCCATGGCCTAGGCTGCCTGCTGAGTTAAAAAACAACAGTTTCAATCAAGTTTTTAAAACCAGATTATACCTAAATATTATGAATTATAATTTCTGCCACATCATGTGGAAAAAGACGCCCCCACAAATAACTTGGTAATGATTGTCTCAGAAGACAACTCTGAGACCAAAAGACAAAAAACACATCACACCCTTCTGGAGAAAAATTGGCATCCTAGTGAGATACTAAATTATTTTAACACAACCAAGAAAAGGAAGTTTGCTAGCATAGTCTATCAGAGAGAAATGAGAACTTCATTCAATGAGCTTCATTCAATGTATGTCTTGTTTGCATATATCTCTTATAACTAAGAATTAGTGCTTCTCAGAATTTGAATGGCTTTTATTAAAGTAACTGCAAAGAAATGGAAATTACAGTTTCCTAACCCCCACTCAGTCAAAATTAAATGGATTTAAAGCAGATTTCCAACACATTTATTAAAAACCTTTGTCCTAGGCAGGGATACTAATTTAGTAATTTCAGAAAAGTTCTCAGTATACAGCCCAAGAACTAAAATATTAATAGTCTTGCAGCAAATAGAAAGCCAAAATTTCTGGTTGTGCTTTTTTCTTTTTTTCCCCAGAGACAGGGTCTCACTTTGCTGTCTGGGCATCATGAGGGCAGTGGCATCATCGTAGCTCACTGCAACCTCAAACTCCTAGGCTCAAGTGATTCTCCTGGCTCAGCCTCCTGAGTAGCTGGGACTACAGGACCACCCTATTACCCCCGGCAAATTTTTCTATTTTTTGTAGAGATGAGGTCTCACTCTTGCTCAGGCTGGTCTTGAACTCCTGACCTCCAGCAAATCTACTGCTTCAGCCTCCCAAAGTACTAGGATTACAGGTATAAGCCACCACGCCTGGCATTTTTTCTGTTAATATTTGATCACACAACTAACAAGAAGATTAACTATAGTAGACTAAGGGGAAAAAAAATCACTGAGCTTGTAATCTGACTTCTAGAATAGTATTCTGGAATGTCTAAGAAGGTAAAGACACTCTTTAAGAGAAAAGAAAAGTATACTGGACCAACATTACAAACCGTTAGAACAGGAGTCCTTTATGTTAACCAAATGCTAAGAGTCAACCTGAGTGCTAACTTTATAAAGCTTGGGAGTGTGTAAAAGAATTAGAATAATGCATAAAAATCAATAAAAGATAACTGTAGTGATAAATTTTTAAGAGCCAAACCCAAATTTGGTATTCTAGTCCCAGGCAACCTTCCAATAAAAGTCTAGGGCAACTGGATAGAATATAACAATCAGGGCCAGAAATAACAAGCTTCTCTTTAGCAACATTTCTCTAAAATTGTTAATTCCTTCCCATTTTGAAAAAAATAACAAAAAAAATTTTATTATAGAAAGGAATGATGAAGACTACGAAATATACATTAGAGCAAAAATTAAAACTGAAGGCATTGAGTATCGATTGTCATAGGCATTATTTATACTCATTAACATATCCTCAAAGAAGCCTGCAACTCTTGGAAAGAGTGTTTTAAAATTTTTAAATGCCTTTGATTTCTCAGTCTACACTAATAATACTTTTCTTCTTAAAGAAACAAATTTCACATATGTAACTCCCTCTGTATTCAGTCAATCAGCGGGAGATCTATACTACTTTTGCCAACTATCATCATCTCAGAGTGATGGCTTGAAGTCTATAAATGGCTGCTAAAGAAATGAAAAATATTCAAAAAATGCATGAGCCAATCACAAATTTCTCATCAGTCACCTCTTCTAGAAATGAAAATATCACATCTAGATAAATACAACAAAATATCAATGCAAACATTCTGAAATCAGCTTGCTGAAATTTTGTGCATTTTCCTTCAAATTTCAGTCTCACTATTGCACATGCCTCCTGCAGATAAGCGCTCAATGCATAAATGCTGACCTTGTCAAAAGCCACCATTCTTGAAAAAGAGAAAAATATCAAAGTAAATGTGCAAATAAAATTGGTGCTTAAAGCATGTTCGAAACCTAAGTCCCCAAGACAAAGAAGTTACACCTTGTTGGCAGAAAGACAGCCAAGTAACTACACCTGATTTTTCCACTCGTCTTTAATAAGATCTTATTTAGCTAGCACATACACACAAACCAAAGACAGATAAACATTGCAAGCTAACAAAAATTACCACGTATTGAACTGAGTTTCCCATTCTTCAGTTTTGAACTGTACTTCCTTGTTGAGGGGCAATAATCAGTTCAGGTAGAAAATAAGTTATCGACATACTTTTTCAAGTAACAGTCTGTTTATCTTCAGCTTCACGAAACAGGTATGACAGTCTTAGGCTGCATGTATTAGAGAACCTAGCATTCAATCTGAGAGCTTGGCACTCGCCGCATGTTTAGGGCATGCCGATGTATTTCCTGCATCTGTCTGATGCGGTCCTTCTGCCACATTAGGTTTTGAGGCATAGGATATCGCTGTGTGCCATGCAAGTACCGGTATGGGATCCTCACATGACAAGCAGTGGCTCTACAACGAGGTTGTGGCATGGGAGGAAGAAGCATCCACCTCTTTCTCTCAGCACAGTATCGGTAGGCTTCTTTCCGATACTGTTTGTCAATATCATCACTGTTCTTCCAGCCTCCGATAATGAAAACATCATCTTTGTAATAGCAAATGGCTGCTCCTTCAATGCTTAGCACTTCTGGAGGCAGGCTTTCAAGGATCTCATCAGACACTTGGCTGGCAATTTTTCTTACTGCCTCTTCATTTTCTAAAGAGTAACTCTTGGGACAGCATGATGCTGTCTGATAAAAGTTTGAATTGACCACAGACATTTGGAAAAAGCAGTAATTGTCAATAAGTGGCAAAGACTCCACATCTTGCCACTGTCGAGTCTCTGTATCATAGCAAGTAATTACAGCCCTTAATCCATCTTCAGTGTCCCGGTCCACGGGAGTGCGGGCAGCAATGTACACAAAGCGGTCTTCAATGGCTAGCGCTTTCACATCTCGAAGAATCTTTGGTGCCGATTCCAAGTTGTGCCATTTATCAAGCTCAGGATTATAAACAGTCACATCTTTAAAGCCAGGACTAAAGTTGCCATGTCCTCCAATGCTATAGAGCTTCCCTTTGACTTCCGTCAGCCCAAAAGAATGCTTTCTTGTCATCAGACTACAAACATGTTCCCACGTATTCAAATTTGGGTTATACCTTTCTACCGTCTTAGCAAACCCTGGTTCCATTGATCCAGCAACATACACATAGGACTCTGTTACTGCAACAGCATGTCCATCAAGATGATTATGAATATGCGGCAGGTTTACCCATCTGTCCTCATCAACAAAATAACCCACACATTCACTTAAATAGTCCCCTCCTTCCGACACACCTCCAATAACCATGATCACATCCATGTTTTGCCCATAACGAGGTAATAATGAGACATGAGAAGCAGGGTGCTGGAAGGTGCCAGACTGTATATTCTCGGCTCTCAGGGCATGCCTCTCCACTGCATCGGCCACCAACTTGACACAAACTTCATTATTGGCCACCAGCCTCTCTGGTTTGACATGCCGAGTAAGATAGGTAGGTTTCATCTGGGACAACCGGAGCAATTTAAAAAGTTCTTCAAAGTATCTCTCTCTCTCTTCAGCATTTCTCTGAACCCACTTCAAAACCGTTTCAAAGAGAACCTCTTCAGAATCAACTGTAATTTCCAAGTCTGATAGCCAGTCTCGAATGAGATGGAAAGGTAAAGTATAAAATTCTTCATCCTGAATTACTTTGTGGAAATTTCTCCGTATCATATCAGCAGCTTTCAGAGCAAGCTGGCTCAGAGTGTACATGTGAGCTAAGCTATGAATGGCCACACAATTTGAGAGATGAAGCTTTTTCTTAAGAAATTCTCCACAAAATTCTTTCAAACGAATTAATAGGAACCTGAAATCCAGAAAAAAAGATTACTTTTCAAATATGCATGCTTTATGTGGTTACATTTTGAGAGTAGCCGAATTATACAAATTGAAATGGTGAGATTAGTCTCATTTTATATATTAATACAACATCTGAAAAAAGAAAATCCCCCCAAATTAGAAAATAGTGTGCTAGAAAAAGTATGTTTAAAAGCACATATAAATGTCCCCCCACTCAGCCTCCCAAGTAGTTGGGGCTACAGGCAGGTGACACTGCACCTGGCTGGAGTTTTTAATTATGCAAGGTTCCCTGGAACATAGCATTTAATAAAGTACAATAGTCTCAAACTTTATTTTCACTTTAATTTGTCCTTGGCAAAGGCAAATTCCAATACAAACTTTCTCTGCCATCTTTTCCTAATCTCTTGCCAGCCACCAGCCTCTTCTTCAATGAAGCAGGGTCTCAGTGAAGAGACCTCATCAAGCATCGACTATATGGTATAAAGTAAAAGCCAGGCAGGAACTGTGACTTCTTGAAGGCTTTGTTTGGTCAGACATCAGAAGGAACAGCAAGGAGTCTAGGCTTTGTGTCAGAAGTGTTAATTTCTTCCTCACCAGAACTTTCTCCTTGGGTAGTCAGATGGAGTGAGGTGCTTAGGGGAACCCAGCCCTGAGCTAGGTTCTCATTAAAGAAGGGATGGCAAGGCAAACTCAAACATCTGAAGAAGTCAGGAAACAAAAGAAAAACAACAAAAAAAACATGTGTAGGACAGTCTAGGTTAAAAAACAAAAGAGACAAGAGACTGGTTTGGCATGTACCTGACTAGATGTCTACCCAACTAAATCACTTAAAGTTAAATTAAAAAAAAAAATCCACAATAGTTACAGCCAAATTCATAAATCTGGCAGCATTCAGCCTGAGGGTAGCTATTGTTTTACAAAGAGTAAATTCCCAGAACTGAGAATCTTAAACAATATAAGGGTGACCTCATCAGTCTGACCTCTCTCTCAATTCAGTAACCATTTGGTACTATGGTTATTGTGTTTAATAACTACCTTAACTATGATATAGAGATGAATAGGACAGGCTTCCTTCACCCTCTTAAGGGGAGACTGTCTTAGAGATAAAACAAACACAAGGAAGAGTGGTAAGGACTTTAGCGGCTCCCAGACATGTCTGGGTGCCGGGGTCACCTAGTTCTCAGACTGCCCTGAGCTCCTATTTTTAGCAGGCACTCCAGATAATTCTGAGATATATTCCCCTAGATGGGTGTTTGTAAACACTGCTCTCTGCAAACAATAGCTATCATGTACGAGGCATCTGTCATGTGAAGGGCATCGTGCTGGGCACATTCTATTATTTCTGATCCTTGTAAGTAAGTGCCCTGTAAGGTAGGCATGATCACCAACAGACAGAATATAGTGGGGGGGGGGAGGGGGTCCCACCTCAGAACTGATGGGAAGATTAAATGTTATGATTACAGGGCACTTTGAACAGTGCCTGACACAAGACAGCTGCTTAGCAGCTGACAGATGGAGAGAAGTTAAGAGTTTTAAGTAAATTGCCTAAATATGCTCTCCTCACCTGGAACTCCCAATAAAGCAGGGCAAATCTGACAGTAATAAGATCACATGATAGAAGCAAACACAGCTTTAATGAGTGTGATAACACTTCTCCATCCATTTTCTTTCTTTTCCCTCAAACGGACGTTGACAGAGCTCCATTCATTCATTGAAGAAACCTCCCTCCCTCAGACCTATACCCATCCCACTCTACCTTCTAATTGATGACCCGGGCCTCATACTTTGAGAAACAGAAACAATCAGATAGGAACTTCATTTTCCTACCACCCAATCTACCTGCTGCTGTACCCTTCCTTTGACTTCCAGGTCCAACTTTTCCAATTTTATTTTTATTTTTTTGAGACAGAGTCTTGCTCTGTTGCCTGGGCTAGAGTGCCATGGCATCATTATAGCTCTGTGCAACCTCTAACTCCTGGGCTCAAGCGATCCTCCTGTCTCAGCCTCCCTAGTAGCTGGGACTACAGGTACAGGCCAGGACGCCCAGCTGATTTTTTTCTATTTTTGGTAGAGACTGGGTCTCACCCTTGCTCAGGCTGGTCTCGAACTCCTGATCTCAGCTTCCTAAAGTGCTAGGATTACAGGCGTGAGCCACCACAACTGGCTCACCTTTCCAATTTTAATATGGATTCTATACCAAAGGAAATCAGAATATTTCACCCCAAATATACTTCTTCAGCATATTTCACTATGACTACTCAAAGGAGCTACAAACCACAGGAATAGTTCTGAAAAGCTGTCTTTTGTGGGGGAGATTTGCATCTCTAGAGAAAATCTACATTGGTGAGGTAAATAGCAAGGTAGACACTGATAAAAGAGGCTTTCTCTGAGGCCTCTCCTTTTCTGAAACTTTTACCACAGGCTACATCTATTCTTTCTTTCTTTTATTTTTTTTTAAGAGACAAGGTCTCCCGGGCAAGGTGGCTCACGCCTGTAATCCTAGCACTCTGGGAGGCAGAGGCAGGCGGATAGCTCGAGGTCAGGAGTTCAAAACCAGCCTGAGCAAGAGTGAGACCCCGTCTCTACTATAAATAGAAAGAAATTAGTTGGCCAACTAATATATATAGAAAAAAAAAATTAGCCGAGCATGGTGGCACATGCCTGTAGTCCCAGCTACTTGGGAGGCTGAGGCAGCAGGATCGCTTGAGCCCAGGAGTTTGAGGTTGCTGTGAGCTAGGCTGATGCCACGGCACTCACTCTAGCCTGGGCAACAAAGCGGGACTCTGTCTCAAAAAAAAAAAGAGACAAGGTCTCATTCTATCACCCAGGCTGGAGTGCAGTGGTATGATCATAACTCACTGTAACCTCCAACTCCTGGGCTCAAGCAATCTTCCCACCTCAGCCTCCCCAGTAGCTGGGACTATAGGTGCCCTGGCTTATTTTTCTGTACAGAAAAGGTCTCACTATTGCCTCAAAGCTGGTCTAGAGCTCCAGATCTCAAGCAATCCTCCTGTCTTGGCCTTCCAAAGCACTGGCATGAGCCAACACACCTGGCCTTTTCTTATTGACCTGTCTTTTGTTGACAGGAAGAAAAGGATCACCCCATTCTTGGTTGCAGGGATTTTATTCCTGCAATTATTCTCCTGCTCCTAAAACATCAATTTCTCCTCTTCCACTGAATAAATTTCATTTGCACACAAACATCCTCTAGTATCTCCTCCCTTGACCACACCCCAAAACATTTCCACATGTGTACTGTTTTTCTGATCCTCCTTATAAAGCATGAGTTAACTAGCTCTTGTCAATACCACCATGGACCTCCAATGATTTATGGGTTGAGACTGGCAACTCTCTCCTTGACATCCTTCCTTCCTAGGTTTCCATGGTATCAGTCTCCTCTGCTGGCTCCCCTATAACATTCTAGAGAACCCCATGGGTCCTTGCCACCCTCTCTCCCTGCCCCTTTTCCATCTACCCTCCCTAAGTAACTTCATCCGGTCCCACGGCTTTATTTAACATCTATATGCTAATTCCAGCCCCATCGCCACTGTATCTCTAGCTCCCAATGCTCCTCTTTTATTTTATTTTTTTTTTTGAGACAGAGTCTCATTCTGTTGCCTGGGCTAGAGTGCAGTCGCGTCAGTCTAGCTCACAGCAACCTCAAACTCCTGGGCACAAGTGATCCTCCTGCCTCAGCCTCCCAAGTAGCTGGGACTACTGGTGCACATTACTATACCTGACTAATTTTTTACATTTTTAGTAGAGACGAGGTCTTGCTCTTGGCTTTTGCTGGTCTTGAATTCTTGACCTCAAGTGATCCTCCTGCCTTGGCCTTCCAGAGTGCTAGTATTACAAATGTGAGCCACCGCTCCACCACTCCCAGTGCTCTTATATCCAGCAGCCTATCCAGATATCATCTTAACCAAAACCAAACTCCTAATCTTCCTCCCAAACCTGCTCTTATTGCAATCTTCCACATCTTAATTAACTCCATCTTTCCAATTGTTTGGGTAAAAAAACTAGCAGTCTTTTCCCTTACACTCATCAAATCCATCAGCAAATCCATCTACCCTACCTTCAAAATCTATCTAGAACCAGAACACTTATTACCTTCACTTCTGCCTCCTCAATCCAAGCCTCCACCACCACTACAACAACCTCCTACGCTAGACTCTCAGCTTCTGTCCTTGCCACTCTCTCCCCAAGGCTCCATCCTTTTTACAACACAGCAGAATTCATCAAATCAGACTGCGTCATTTTTCTGCCCCACACCTTCCCATTTCATTCAGAGTAAAAGCTCATGTCCTTCCTCAGGCCAACAAGGCCCTGTGGGATCTAGATCCATCACCATTACCTTCCTGAGGCTTCTGCTCCTCTCACTCTCCATTCCCTTGATACAGCCACACTGGCTCCCTGCTGTTCTCTAACACCTAGACAAGCTCTATCTCAGGGCCTTTGCACCTGTGTTCCCTACCTGAAACACTCTTTACCTTGCTCCTTTCAGTTCTTTGCAAAATGTCGTCTTCGGGAGGTATTCTCTATCCAACCAATTTAAACAACAGTTCCTCTCCACCAGCACTTTCTATGTGCCTCTGCCATCATGCTTTACTTTTCATTACAATGATAACAATCATTTAAACCCTATATAGTCTACTTATTGTCTGTCTACCAACGGTAAATGCAGTAAGAAAAGGGACTTTTGTCTGTTTTGTTCACTGCTGAATCCCAGCACCGGGGTGTGTGATCTGACGCATAATAGGCACTCAATAGGTATTTGTTAAAATAACGAACCTGTAAGATGATACTGCCAAAACAGACTCCTCCCCACCTATAAACAGTATGCATCTCTATAAACAGTATGCATCTGCCAGCTAACCAGTCTCTAGAGCATCCATTCCTATTCCCTACAATCCGTTTACCACAGTAGCAGAATAATCTTTTAAAATATTTAAGTCAGATAATTTCTTTACCCAGCTCCTCATCATACTCAGTCAAACCCAAACTCCTTATTCCAATGCATCTCACACACGCTTCTCCTATTCACCCACTAGATCCAGCCTCACTGGATTTTTAAGTTCCTTCTCCAAGCCAAACTGGATCCTGCCTGAGGGCCTTTGCGCTATCAGCCTGGAATGTTCATCCCCCATCTTTGCACCGCCAGTTTTTTCTTGCCATTTAGCGATCGGTTTAAGTGTCACCTCCTTAGAAAGGTCTTTCCTCTACTCAATCACTATCCTTTCATTCCATTTGAACCTCAACACAGCACTCATCACATACTTTCCTTTTCATTGCCTTTGTCCCTCTACCTAGAATCTGCGCTCCCTCGCCGGACCTGCGGCTGCAACCCCCGAGCCCAGCGTGCTGGCTGCCCCACAGCGGTCGCTCCCCGGCGAGAATGAACCGAATGCATCCACTGAGGGCCAGCTGGCTGCGGTCCCCAGACTCTGCTCTACCCCCTCCGCCGGCCAGCATCTAGCCTTCTCCGCGCCGCGCCCTCCCTCTGCGCTCCCGCCTCCCTCGCCTACCTGTCGGCCAACTCCAGCACCTCGTGCACACTGCCCGTGCTGACGCGGATGCGCCCGGTGTACATGTATTCGATAACGGCTTCCACTGTGTCGGGTTCGGGCCCCGGCTCGGAGCTCCACTTGCGCATCTCCACCCGGCCCGAGCGGGACTCGGAAAACTGGCCTGAGAGCAGGGGCGTGAAGTATTCGGTGGCGGCAGCCAGCACCGAGCGGTGGGCCCGGAACTCGCGGCCTCCGGCCCCACCGAAGCACAGGGTAATGTCACAGAAGAGGCCCTGGCGCCGCTGCTCGTTCTGCCGCCAGGACAGCTCCGAGCAGTGAGAGCTGCACTCGAAATCCTCGGCCTCTGGGCCAGGATCGCCCCCGCTCGCCTCCATTGCAGAGATCCCGGGCCCGGGCCCGAAGTCAACCGTGCCGCTGCCTCGGACCTCGGCAGCCAGCCCCGCCGAGCCGGCAGCGGCCGTCTCCATGCTCTCCATCTCCAGCACCTGAAGAGATGCAGCCGCCGCCGCTGCCGCCGCCGCTGCAACAGCCGCTGCCGCCATCTTGACGCCGCCGCGCCCGAGCTCCGCAGTCTCGGAACGACGCCGCCGTTCTGGTGCGACACAGAGGGATTCTGGGATTAAATAGTGCGCGCGGGGCGGAGCCGGGCCTCCCGCCGGCCGCGCGCCGCGCCTCCCGCAATCCGCCCAGCCTTGATGGGGTTTGACTGCAATCCTCTCTCCCAGTGGTGACGACTTCGCCCGGGGCCTCCCACCTGGGCTTGGTGGGAGGATGGATGCTCTCGGCAGTCACTTTGTAAAGTAAAAGCCACCTTAGACCACCACACGTGGTTAAAGCCTTGATATACAGAAAAAATATAGGATTTTTATTTTAAATGGCTTTGGAGTAAACATTTTAGAAGATAAAAAGACCAAGCCCCGGCTAAGTGGATGAGGGTGAGCAAGTTACTTATTGTCTCTGAACTAATTTATCTTCTAAAAAACGGGGATATTGTCTGCCTTGGAAGATCACTGCAAGGGTTAGATGAGATAATGCTCGTCACGTGTTTTGCATAGAGCTTAGACCGTAGTCACTGTTGAAGATGAATAAAAACCACTTTGGGGTTTTAAGAGAGCGGGCCAGTTCAATGGGTTTTTAAAAGTATCACTGGTGGCTGTATGAAGAATGGAGCCTACAGGGACAAAAGGGGAAACAGAGGCACCAGTTAGAAGATCAGATGTGGACAGATCAGAGGGAGAGTTAAGGGGTAAATCAACAGAACATGGCAACCAGAGTAGAGGAAAGGGTGACTCCCAAGCTTTTGGCCTGAGTATCTTTGTTTACCATTCACTGAGACAAAGCAGGAGGTACAGATTTAGGGGAGAGGATAATGGGGGGGGTTCATATTTTTTGATGCTAGTGTTTTAATTCTTTTTTTAAAGAGGTGGATGAGCATTTTTAACTATGAGTACTAAAACCATCAGAAAGTACAGTTCAAAGAGAATACAGATGACAGGAGACAGCAGTATGCCTTCATTGTTACTATATAGTTTATTTAAACCAAACTATGATAATACAGAGAAGAGACTGAGGTGGCAGCTGCCTAAAATCTTTGTGGATGACAGATGCAAAGCAGCTGGAGACGAGCCCTTGGACCCACACTTCAGTTACAGACAAGTCAGCTGCATAAATACAGAGAACATAAGACACAAGACAGTTCACAGCTTTTTTCTTTGCGTTTCCATTTTAAACATATGTATGTTACAACTTTACATTTTAAATTACTACTCCACATATTCTGTGACAGTGGTTAAGGATGCAATGGTCCCATCCCCTCCACGTAAGCAGACTTTGATCTGCAACACATAACGTTTCAGCGGGATACCAAACAAACCCTTAACACATAACATACAAAAAGATCCTTAAAAATCAGATTAATACAATGTTCTTCATGTTATGTAAGGAGAAAGAAAGGGAAGTGGAAAAACAAGACATCAGGGGTGCTTTAAATGTATGGTATCTTGAGGTCTTAAAAATTTCATTCCCTTCCTCCAAGGGAAAAAAAATTGTTGTAACTAATGAAAAAAGAAAGCAACATCATAACACCCTACAATGAGGAAGAACACTATCCTGACAGTGCTTATATGCTTCCATATAATAAATACAGCAGGTAGCAGAGCAAATGTCGCAAGTATTGGCTTGGTTTTTATTTCTATGCTTATAAAAAAAATATTAAGCTTCTTTGTGTGGACTGAACAAGTGTTAGCCTCTGGGTGTTGGCCTTCAGTGCCTGTACACCAGTGGCTGTTTACATTCCAGGCCATCTTATGGCAGGCTTCACTGCCAGCTGTCTGCACCCTTTTCCCAGGGGGAAGAGTTCTTGTCTTCAGTTTACTGCAACAGGGTTCCTGACTCAGTTACATGCTCATGTGTTCTGGAAGAACATATGAAATATCATCCCATGGATGACGATACAGCCCCTGCTTCAGCCTCTTCTGGTCAAGATAATGTCCTAAAATGAAGCAAATGCATCCTTTCATTAGAGTTCTGTAAGCCTAGTGAGGGGGGAAGGATAATGAAGGGATATCTTTCTGACACAAAACAAGCAGATATAAAGCAGTGGGGGCCGGGCGTGGTGGCTCACGCCTGTAATCCTAGCTCTCTGGGAGGCCGAGGCGGGCGGATTACTCGAGATCAGGAGTTCGAAACCAGCCTGAGGAAGAGCGAGACCCCATCTCTACTATAAATAGAAAGAAATTAATTGACCAACTAATATATATAGAAAAAATCAGCCGGGCATGGTGGCACATGCCTGTAGTCCCAGCTACTAGGGAGGCTGAGGCAGTAGGATCGCTTGATCCCAGGAGTTTGAGGTTGCTGTGAGCTAGGCTGACACCTCGGCACTCATTCTAGCCTGGGCAACAAAGCAAGACTCTGCCTCAAAAATAAATAAATAAATAAAGCAGTGGGGAAGTGGATCCAGATCTATTCCATAGGGAGATAGGGCACATCTGATAAAAGGGAACATTTGATAAAAGGGAACCACTGGATTTAATTTTATTTCCCTGGGCTAGGAATTGTTTCTAAGAACAAAGGATAAAGATAAGGGGGAAGTTACAGTAAGAAAGGAAGGATTAAGAACAATGATTAAGGGCTGGGCATAGTAACAAGAGCGAGACCCCATCTCTACAACAAAAAAATAGAAAAATTAGCCAGCCTTGGTGGCAGGAGCCTGTAGTCCCAGCTACTTGGGAGGCTAAGGCAGGAGAATTGTTTGAGCCCAAGAGTTTGAGGCTGCAGTGAGCTATAATGATGCCACTACACTCTAGCCTAGGAGACAGAGCAAGACCCTGTCTCAAAAAGACAAAACAAAAAAAACCAAAACCAACCAAACAAAAAAACAATGATTAAAAAAATATAATGACTCTTGTGTAGAAACTCACCACATGGGCAAGTGGTGTAGCTGAACTGTGAGGGTTAAAAAAAACAAAACAAAACAAAAAAACAACCAACCCTTAAAACAACAGCAGGGAACTTACCAATGAAGCCCATACTCCTTCCCAGCACAAAGATGCCATTGAGGGCTCCAATGTCAATATATTCATCAGCTTCCTCCCTGCAACACACAATCAACTTGTAGTTTTAAAATGGCTCACATGACTGTCCTCCTCCTGAGAGACAGCACTATTTCTACCCAGGAATGAGAAGCTCTCTTTGGTTTCTAAGTAGAAAAGATGAGTGTTCTGGGTGGTAGGATAACAGGCAATTTTTGTTTTATTCTTTATAGCTCTGTTTATTTTCTAAATCCTCTATAATAAGCATGCATCATTTTTATAGATGAAAGGAAACAACAAAAACAAGCCAGTGTTACAAAGAAGAAAATGGCCGTGATGCTTACCGAGTGAAAGACCCACAGTGTCTAAGCATGTCTACAAATGCAACTCCAATGAAACCATCTACGTTGAGGATAAGATTTGGTTTCTGGAAAGGCAAAAAAATTCAAAGTGTTTATCATTATTTCTCATTTTTTCTTTGTAATTTTCCACTGTTACCAATACCACTATTACTATGAATTTTGATGACCATTCAAAACCTCCCACCAACCCAGTTACTCGGGAGGCTGAGGTGGGAAAATGGCTTAAGCCCAGGAGTTCGACACCAGCCTAGAAATACAGCTAAGACTCCATCTCAAAAAAAAAAAAAAAGGCCGGGCGCGGTGGCTCACGCCTGTAATCCTAGCTCTCTGGGAGGCCGAGGCGGGCGGATTGCTCAAGGTCAGGAGTTCAAAACCAGCCTGAGCAAGAGCGAGACCCTGTCTCTACTATAAATAGAAAGAAATTAATTGGCCAACTGATATATATATATAAAAAAAATTAGCCGGGCATGGTGGCGCATGCCTGTAGTCCCAGCTACTCGGGAGGCTGAGGCAGAAGGATCGCTCGAGCCCAGGAGTTTGAGGTTGCTGTGAGCTAGGCTGACGCCACGGCACTCACTCTAGCCTGGGCAACAAAGCGAGACTCTTCACCAGTGGATTCTACCATACATATTAAAAAAAAAAAAAAAAAAAAAAAAAAAAAAAAATCCCCAAAACAAACAAAAACCTCCCACCAAATATCCCCATTGGTTAAAACTGTATCTCACTCAGTTCAATTCCCAGCACCTTGCAATGGACCCAACACCTCGTTGACATTTAATATATGTCTGCTGAATTTAGTTATGCAACAGAATTAAAAATTTCCAGAAAACCAGATTTGATTTTAGCTGCATAATCAAAATGTAACCTGGCTTTCATTTCCCCCCAAAAATTCATCTAACATATGATTAAGGGAATTAGAGAAGTTTTTTTCTTTGTTACCTTTGAGGTGGTAATCTTCTCCACTTCCAGTGCATAATCGAGCAGAGGGGTGGCAGGGAAATGCTGTTTGACATAATCTTTGAGGATCTGCACTCGCATATCTGGGTTGTTTATCTACAAATAGACCCAAAATTACAGAGGAACCACCCACACGCTGCTGTTAAGGGATGTGTTTGAATTTGTGTCACAGGTGATCAGAACCATACATGTCTTATCCCAGAGGTGATTCAGGGACTTATGATCCACATGTGTGATTTCATGTGGCACCCACTGTGACACTGCTGTGGGGCTGAAGGTTGGTGAAGTCCTCTCGTATCTCATTTGGGACACAAAACCACCTTTGTAAGTTCTCTTATGTTACAGCTGAGCCCTGGAGATGTTCAGGGAGCTGGCCAGGTCCCACAGTGTGACACCCTGGGGCTGGGACTCCCCACTCTCCAACCCAGAGTCTCAGGTTCTAGCCACCAGCCACGCTGCCCACCAGCTCTGTGGCCTAGTCATGCTGGAATGAAGTTCTACACCAAACAAGCACATGTTGGAATAGGACAGTAAAGTATCCTCCAAATTTTAGGAAAAACTCCAGACCTGCAATGAATGAAACCAGGACACACAGAGGACATAGGCCCTATGTGAGACTATATTAACTGTGTAAAATATTTACTGCCCTTCCCCACTGTCTCTCCCAATCAGGCTTGGTTTGACATTATTTACTGTCTGATATTATTTACTATTTGATATTGTTTACAGACAATATTTACTGTCTCTCCCAATCAGGCTTGGTTTGATATTATCACTCTTCCTGCTCCAGTGACATCAGGCTTAACCCTTTGACTTGGTTGGCCAATGAAATGTGAGCACAAGTGAACCCCATAACTCCAGGCAGAAGCTTTAAGAACCTTCCTGTGGTCTTACCATTGCTCTTTTCGTGCCGACATGAGGCAGGCACATCCCACATAGAGGTTGCTCGTTCAGCAAAGACGTTTGTAGCGTGACTAAGAAATAAACCTTTCTATTGTAAGCCTCTGAGATTTTTGGAGTTGTCACCATAACATTAAATATTATCTAGCGTATGGTGACCCTTATGTCTCCTCAACTCTGGCCTTAGTCCTTTCTCCTATAAGATTCATTTGGGAAGCCAAAGTTACCAAGTTTCCTTTTCATCATATTTTCATGCCACAACTAAATGAGATTTAAATTGTTAAAAAGAAATCTGTATGATAAAAAGGATAAAATTGCTGCCTTCTATTCAGCCTGTCAACACATCCAAAGTTTTGCATGTTGCAGTCGAGGGCTTGAGTGCTCCCAGCTAAATTGATGCCCTCCCATCACCACCCCCCTGTACTCCATCCCCCTCCTCCAGGAGAGCAACTCACTGATTTCACTCGGTGACCAATGCCCATGATCAGTTTCCCTTCCTTCTTCATCTTGTTCACAAACTCCATGGGGATAATGCCACTATCAAAGGCTTTACTGAACATCTTGGCTGCTGCATCCAAGGCACCTCCAAACCGATCCCCCTGGAGGAGAAACACGCATACAGTTGCCTCGAGCCTTAAGAGTTTTCTTCAGCTTTGCAAACCGACCCAGCATGTCCCGGACAGCCCTCAGCACAAGGTTTCACACTCAGGGGCTCCTTCTAAGGACCCTGCTGCAGCAGAGCAGCATGGTGCTGAAGCCCAGGGTCCCCCTGTTCACCTCCTAGGATGACAGAACTTACAATGGTGAGCAGCCCTGAGGTGAGGCTGGAGACCAGGTCCTTCCCAGCTCGGGCACAGATGATGGTGTTGTGAGCCCCAGAGACTGCTGGCCCGTGATCAGCTGTCACCATCAGACACATCTCAATGAACTGGCAAGAGTACTTGGGCAACCTAGAGGAGGGTGAGTGAGGGGTGAGGAGAGGTTAACAAGACCACGCTCCTACTTTCTCCCATCTCCCTGAACAAGTCACTCAAATTCAGGAAGAGTAGCAACCTCCCAATCCAAGTCTAAGACTATTGCACAACTGTAAGGCAAAATCTCCTAATTCTTCAGTGGCTCTGGGTTGTGCTGTTATCAAATGCTGCTTTTAAAATAGAATTTGCAACCAGGGTTTGAAATCTCTTCTTTGGGAAGCAGTTTTCCGTGTGAGTTGCTACACTTGGATTTGACCTGTACTTGTGGCTACTCTGCCAGACAAAGGTGAGACTCCTGTCTCTTCACAGTGTAAGAGGCCCCAAGCCTCCTTCCTGCAGTGTTCAACCTCCCAATAATGATCAAGAACAAAGTCTGGAGATGTGGGAAGCAAGAGCAGAGAGAGAGAGAGAGAGAGAGACCTACTCAGGTATTACAAGCTGTGAACGTTTCCCAGGAAGGGCCCAAAGCAGGACCAAGACCCATCTCTCTGCAGGTGAGGGCAAGACACAACCAAGACTTTGATCTAGCCTCTATCCAGTGCCACCTCAAGCCAGGGCTCTGCAAATCGCATGCTCACTGGCTCCCCTGCCCACCTGTCAGTTCTAGAGGAGGACTAAACTTGGGAGTTGCAGAGAAAACCAATTTTCTCTAACATGCAGGTTTGATGAGATGCAAATTTGCAAAGAGAACATGATACAAGGTACTTCGTATCTGTTTAGCAACTCTACCAGGCCTTGAGACCTTTCCAGTTCTTCTCCTTTAAACCCTACCTTTCTGTCACAAGGTCTGCATTTACTCTGTCTTCTTTCTTTATAAATATTTTTTTTTTACTTTATTGTATTTTTGTTTTTTAAAAAAATATGGACTGGGCCGGGCGCGGTGGCTCACGCCTGTAATCCTAGCTCTCTGGGAGGCCGAGGCGGGCGGATTGCTCGAGGTCAGGAGTTCGAAACCAGCCTGAGCATAGAAAGAAATTAATTGGCCAACTAATATATATAGAAAAAATTAGCCGGGCATGGTGGCGCATGCCTGTAGTCCCAGCCACTTGGGAGGCTGAGGCAGAAGGATTGCTTGAGCCCAGGAGTTTGAGGTTGCTGTGAGCTAGGCTGATGCCACGGCACTCACTCTAGCCTGGGCAACAAAGTGAGACTCTGTCTCAAAAAAAAAAAAAAAAAAAATATGGACTGCTTCACGAATTTGCCTATCATCCTTGCGCAGGGGCCATGCTAATCTTCTCTGTATTGTTCTAATTTTAGTATATGTGCTGCTGAAGTGAACAATGTCCTGTTTCTTTAAAAGTTCCCAAGGGAAAGGGGCTATTCTAAGACTTCTGATAAGGTCATTGCTTTAGGCTTCTCTTGGTATAGACTGGTCTTTCTACCCTTGGGAGACTTAGGAATAGCTTGTGTCCCTTTCCTCTGGCCTTTCAGTTGACCTGTGGCCCTTAAGACTGACCTTGGAATATACCCCAAGCCTCCCCGCCCCTCTTTCGTCAGGGGAAATGGTTAACTCTGCCCTCTGTGCCTTACCTTTTCTGGAACCAGAGGAGGCCGAGGACCCCACCGATGCCCATCTCTTCCTTGAAGACCTCGGTGATGGGCATGCCTGCATAGATGAGCTCCTGTCCTCGCTCGTCACAGATGCTGGTCATGAACGAGGCAGGTTTGCGGATCAAACCCAGCTCCTAGGCAGAGGGAAGCAGGACCATAGATATTTCCAGGATTGCTCCACTTTGTGTACCCTGCAAGTGTCTTAAAACTCTGGCAGCCAAGCAACAACTCTCAGGCAAATTCCTCCCAAGAAAGATATGTAAAAGCCCTTGTATTGATCATTGAAGGCATAGAAAACAGGAACACCATGCCCAGGTACCCACTTGACATCAGCACTCTTTCGGTCCTTCACTGAGCGTTTGCTGGGCCAGGCAGTACACTAAGCAGTTTACGCCCATTGCTTCATTTGAACTTTACCAAGGAGAATCACTCCTTATGTGCAAAAATGAAGCTTAGAGAGGCTCAGTAACGAAACCGAGGTCACTTGGCTAAGAAGTGGTAAAATGAACCCAAAGGAAAATCTTAAAACATTTCACATACAGCTGCCAACCTCCACCAAAATGTGAAGAGGTAGTGCTGTGGAAATGGGGGTCCCCTCAGCATGTGCTTTACCCGGGGCAGGGACACTGAGCTTCTGCATCCCCCATTTCCAGTGTTGTGGCACAATGAGGTATCATCGACCAATTCTGTCCAAACCCATTTCTTCAATTATCTCCTTTGACATTTTAAAAAATGTTTGTTACATTTTTATTACAAAAGTAACATGAATATATTCTTCTTTTTAAAAATTTAAAGCAGGCCGGGTGCGCAGTGGCTCACACCTGTAATCCTAGCACTCTGGGAGAACGAGGTGGGAGGATCGCTTAAGGCCAGGAGTTCGAAACCAGCCTGAGCAAGAGTGAGACCCTGTCTCTACTAAGAATAGAAAGAAATTAGCTGGACAATTAAAATTAGCCGGGCATGGTGGCGCATGCCTGTAGTCCCAACTACTCAGGAGGCTGAGGCAGAAGGACTGCTTGAGCCCAGGAGTTTGAGGTTGCTGTGAGCTAGGCTGACGCCACGGCACTCTAGCTGGGGCAACAAGAGTGAGACTCTGTCTCCAAAAAAAAAAAAATTTAAAGCAGAAAAATATAGTTATGTCCCCTCTGACCTACACCCCAATCGTGGTCTTATAGTCCAGTGTTAGTTTAGTGGACATCTTTCTGGACCTTTCTTTCCCCACTTTTATTTACATACACACATAGACACACAGAGAATATACAATGTTGTTTTGTGTGCATGTTTTTCATAATTATAACAGAGACACCATTCCATAATGTGCTCAATGAATCTGAGCTCTATAAATGTCGATGCATACACAGACCTACTTAATTACTTTTAACGCTATATGGCATCCTATTTTATGATAAAACCATAGCAGTCTACTGATAACTATCAACTAAAAAAATATTCTGGATGTGTTTCTTTGGGTGTTACATGAAAGCATTTCTCTGAAGTCGCATTCTAGATATGGAATTGCTGGGCCATAACGTATAAGCATTTTCCAATTTCACTGGTGTTACCCAACTGCCATTCAGAAAGGTTGTCCCAACTTCCACTCCCGCTAACAATGAATAAATGCACTAGGTTCCTCAAACCCATACAAACACATCATCAAATTTTTTTTATCTTTGCCGATAAAAATTAGTATCATAGCTTTTACTTTGATTCGTTATAATGAGTTAGGTTGAGCATTTTTTTCATGTTAAAATGCCATTTCCTACCCATTTTCTAGTGAGTTCTTGGTATTTTAAACATTGATTTCAAAGAGTCCTCGTGTATTAAGAAAATTAGCTCTTCATCTATGCCCCATAATGGATACTTCGCCCCTGAACTCCCTCAGAAAGTATGAAATACCCCTAGGGGACAGACATTGTCTGAGGTCTCCAGGCCAGGCGATACAGATGTGAGAGACACACAGCGCCCCTGGCCCTCCTGGGCTCTGCATGTGTTCCACCCGACGGTCAGAAGGGCCCCTTCACAAGCTCCGGCACACAAGTAATGGGTGGATTTCTTTGGATGTCCCTGGAGAAGTCTCCTTTGGGGACATGGTTTAGAGCACAAAGAAGTGACTACATGGTTGCTTCCACTAGTTAGGAGGGCCTGGCCTCCAGGAGTTGGAGCAAAAAACCCACCACCTTACCCCCCAGCCAGGCTCCCCTGCCCACGCTGTTAGGAACCCGCAAGGCACGTACTCTGGCCCAGGAGTAGTCCATGGGCACTGTCGGGGGCGGCACCTCCTGAGCAGGCACAATGGCTCCTTTGGCCACGAGATCTTCATACACAGACCTGGGAGAGAGGCGGGAGAAAAGATCCACATGGATTTTTTTATTCTGGGCTCTTCTAAGCCATCCCCAAAACACTCCTCCATCTATCTAACCCAGCATTGTATATATCTTCCGCTCTGAACCCTTTCCTGTCAGTGGCTTATTCTCACCAGCTGGATTCCGAGAACTAAATGAAAACAAGTTCTGGCCAAGACTGCACTCACTCCCTCCTCCTGGCCAGCTTGCATCCCCTTCTCTGGATGGGACTTTATTGAAAGCTGAATCTGGAGGCCAAGGAAGGACAGTGGGGAGCAGCTGGGTGGGTTTAAGAGGTAGACACGGGAAGAGACCACAGGATATGCAATAACTTTTTCAGACAGAGGTGACGCTCTCTAAATACTTCCATGCTCATCTCCCATATAAAGTTGCCAACTCCCAACCGCGTGGGTAGGCTCAGAAACTCAATGCATTTTAACTACAGCTTGAATGGCCTGTACATGCTGCTTCTACAAACAAAATGAAAGGAAGGCCAAAGAGAAAGAGGAATTTAAACCACCCACACAACTGTACTAGACACAGGAATCTCAGCCACCCTACGCTGGAGAGACTGCTGACCCCAGGAAGGACTTGGAAAGGAAGGGGGCTGCTGGTGTCGTTTCCCACAGTCCACTTACTGGATGATTTCTCCAAGCTCATCAAAGCTCCGGGGCACAAACACTCCTGCTTCCTTCAAAGCCTGGTTCTTGGCTACTGCGGTTTCAGAAGCCTGGTTGGCACAAGCTCCAGCATGGCCAAACTGGACCTGGAAGGCAAAGGAGAGCAACTTGTTAATGCTCCGAGAGAGGACAAAGGACCTGGGAAACCCCAGCACTGGTCATAGATGAGCACTGTGCTATGCTTCACATGAATCACGTCATTCCAGCCTCAAGCAAGCTCACTAAATAGGCACGAAGGGGCTGGATGCGGTGGCTCATGCCTGTAATCCTAACACTTTGGGAGGCCGAGGCAGAAGGATTGCTTGAGAAAGGAGTTCAAGACCAGCCTGAGCATGACAGTGAGATCCCTGTCTCCACAAAAAATAGAAAAATCAGCTGTGTGGTGGTGCATGCCTATAGATCTAGCTACTCAGGAGGCTGAGGCAGGAGGATTGCTTGAGCCCAGGAGTTTGAGGCTGAAGTGAGCTATGATGATGCCACTGTACTCTAGCCTGAGCAAAAGAGACCTTGCCCTAATAATAATGCAACAGAATATGTAAGTGACTAGGAGGAAGAGAAAGCCAATCAGAAGACCTAAGTGGGTTGGGCGCAGTAGCTCACGCCTGTAATCCTAGCACTCTGGGAGGCTGAGGTGGGAGGATGGATCAAGGTCAAGAGTTCAAAACCAGCCAGCCTGAGCAAGAGAGAGACCCTGTCTCTACTAAAAATAGAAAGAAATTAATTGGCCATCTAAAAATATACAGAAAAAATACTGAGGACCTGGCCCACCCATGGCATGACAAGGTCCCAGCCAGACACGGAGGAGCCAGGTCCCTGTCCTCGTGGAGGTGTTCTCAGCATGGGGGAGGGAAGGTGCAGGGACTGGCAACGTAAGGCAGGTTAAGAGAAACAATGGACAAAAAGGAATAATTTTTGGCTATTGGGGGACCTGTGGCAAGGGGAGGAAAGCAATCAAGAAGAAAGATAATCAGGAACAGCTTCACAGAATACGCAGACTGAAGAAGAACAGACACTAATAGCTGCTAAGACCTAAACAATTATTTTCTCATTAAGTTATATAATAACCCCATAGCTTCCCATTTTACAGCTCAGGAAACTAAGGCACAAGAGGGCTAAATGACGTGCTCAGGTTGTACAGTCCACCAAGATATGCTTTTCTTTTCCTTTTTTGAGACAGAGTCTTACTCTGTTGCCCTGAGTAGAGTAATGTGGCATCAGTCTGGCTCACAGCAACCTCAAACTCCTGGGGTCAAGCGATCCTCCTGCCTCAGCCTCCCGAGTAGCTGGGACTCCGGGTGTACGCCACAGGCATAAGCCATGACGCCTGGATAATTTTTCTATTTTTAGTAGAGACCGAGTCTTGTTCTTGCTCAGGCTGGTCTCAAACTCCTGACCTCAAGTGGTCCTCCCACCTCAGCCTGCCAGAGTGCTAGGATTATAGGCATGAACCACCATGCCTGACCCACCAAGATCTGATTTTAAAGATTATGCAAGTAGAGCTCATCCTTGAAGGATGGGCAGGATTCCGTGACTCCTCCTTCCTTTTCTTACATGGAAAGACAAAAAAAAAAAAACTCCACATGTACTGTTTATTTTTAAACAAAATGGATCATATTATAAGCATTTACTGTACCCTGCCCTTTCTTAGATTTAACAAGTCTTAAACTCTTTCTAGATTGACATATCAGGATCCACCTCATTGTCGTGTCTGCCGAGTTTTCCATTAGTAAGTGGATGTGCCCTGGTGACACTGTCCCCTGATAAGTGTTGACATAATTGCCATTTTTGGCCATTATGTTGTAGCGAGTATCCTTGTACACACACTTTGAAATATTTTTGCATGCATACCCATAGGGCAAATCTGCAGAAATGGAATTGCTCATTCCAAGCAGATGTACATTGTACAATGGGACAAAGATTGTCACTTTGAGGTGGGTAGGAAACCCAAAGGGGAAAGGCTACCTTTCTAAGTAGTAAGAGCAGGGTGAAAAAGGCTGACAAAGGCTGACAAAGGCTTACTGGTAGGAAAAATTTAGGGTTTTAGCTTAAGGATCATCAATGTTGCAGGAAGCCTTGAAAGACAAGTTTGACCTATTTATACACACAGCACTAAGATAAGGCCTTGTGCTCGCAGGCTGTTCAACAACTACTGATGAACTATTATAATTGGGTGACAGTGGTTGTTTCCTTTAGTTTCATCATCACTGTAAGAGCCATCTGCAAGGCACAGGATTCTGAGGCTGGAGTACAGGGGCTGAAGTCTGGCTGCCAATGCCCCAGCAGAAGACAGCTCAGCAGCTCGGCAGACAGCAGATGCTCCAACAGCGTTTATATTCAACACCCATTATACGCCACTGGGCACGTTCACATACATTTTATCACTTTAACACATCAAGAACAAACCTTTCCTTCTACCACCTCTCCTCACACAGAACTTCTCTCAAGACCCACCCAGCTCTGAGCTCAGGCCATGCCCTCCCCTCCTCGGCCTCCCTTTCTCAGCAAAGCCCTTCTCATCCCCTGAGCTGCGGTTCCAGCATCAGCCTCTCTGCTGAAGCCTTCTCAACTCCTCCAGGCAGCAGGCTGCTCCCTGCGCCAAGCAGGGACACAGAGCCTTGTCCTGGCCTCAATCTGCTGATGGGTTTGTCTCCTCCAACTGCATGTGGATGTAAGCTCCTGGCGAGCAAGGCCCTAGCTGCACTTTGTAGTAACCAAGCAAGTAATAAATGCTCAGTGAAGAAATTAGCTGCTCAGTAAGATGACCAAATAGTTCACCGCAAATGCCCCTTCTTGCCACTCCCACTCCCCGCCCTGGAACGACCGGTCCCAGCCATACCTCGGAGGAGAACATGGTGGCACAGGTCCCAATGCACCAGCAGACCACAGGCTTTGTGATGCGGCCCTCCTTGACGCCCCGGCAAATCTTATATTCCTCAGTGCCCCCTATCTGCCAAGGAACGGGGAATGAGAAAAAGCCCTCAAGTTAGTGGAGCCCATATACAGATACAAAGTGATTAGAAAATGAGGGGCATGAGCTCTGGACAGATAACAGAAAGGGAGTATAGTTTCAGCCTGGATGATTCAGACTGGATGCAAGAAGGAATTCTAAAGGGACAACAGGTCTCCACTTCCTGATCCAACAGCAGAAGGTTGTTATCAAATTCTTGGCACAGTGAAAAAAAAAAAATCCCAAAACAAAAGCCAAACAAACAAAAGCAGCAGAAGGTAATTTAGCATCAGACCTGCTCAGAGGTACAAGCAAGGGATGAGGTTATGAGACTCTCCTAAATTTTTAAAAATGCACTTTTTATTCCAGCTGTCCCTTGCCCACCAGGTGGAGCTGACGGCCAGCCAGAACAGAGCTTCTCCTTTACTGGCACGAACATCTTGGGCTACTGGGAGGTAACAACTCCTTTTCCAGGATCACACATGGCAGTGTTAACAGTGACAACCTCCAGGCCCCAGAGTCCAGGGGGTGGGATTACCAGAGGCTGTCACTTTAAGTTTTATATAACCAAAATACATGAATTTTTTAAAAACTGAGATCATGCATTACTTTTACAATCATATATATATATATATATATATATTTTTTTTTTTTTTTTAATAACTCACCTCTCCAAGAACCACAATCATTTTGACTCCTGGCGTGTCCTGGTAACGTAGCACGTGGTCCATGAATGTTGAGCCGGGGTACCTGTCAAGAGCAGGGGGAACACACAGGATCAGGAGGTGGCTTGGGGAGCTGTGGACAGGTGTGGGAAGTACACTTATACTGGGAACACTGGCAGAAGCGATTCTATGACACTGACTTCCAAGGCTGGGTTTTAAGAGTGTCTGGCACTTTGTCTCAAATGGCTTGTCCTGGGGAACCAGCTGCCATGTCCTCTATGTCCTCAGGACACTCAAGCAGCCTGTGGGGAAGCCCACAGAGAAAAGCCAACTTGCTGGCCATGTGAATGAGCCACCTCCAGTGCCAGGCAAGCCGTCAACTAACCACAGCCGTGCTGGCATCTAACTGCAACCTCCTGAGACACCCCCACCCCCACAGGCCAGAATTGTCCAATTGAGCCTCTCCAGAATCCTGACCCATAGAAACCTTGAGTTTCTTTACACAGCAATAAATAATTAATACAATATGCCAACCTAAGTCCCAGGATGGCAGGTTGTTGCAAGAAGTTCTACACATTTTTCCTACTGCCACGTCAATTTGCAAAAGGACTGCTTAAGGCCAAGCAAGTTTCTCTAAGATCTTCATGTATCAAAGGGCAAGCAGTCTAACAAGCAGCATTTTCTAGACTTATCTGACCTGGATTCTTTGGTCAGGGAGTACCCAGGGACCCCAGTTCCCCAGGCCATATCCCTGAAAAACTGGTGTGAATCCTGGTAGAGCCAAGGAGACAGACAAGGTGACTCACTCTCCCAACAGCTTTTGGTTTCTCTGCCCCAAAGTAGTAGTAATAATAACAAATAGTAATGACTAACAATTATTATGGATTTACTAAGTGTCAGACATTACACCACTGATGACCTACTGAATGATCATAGTTCCTACTGACAAAAATAATGAGGATACAGCCGGGCGCGGTGGCTCACGCCTGTAATCCTAGCACTCTGGGAGGCTGAGGCGGGCGGATTGCTCGAGGTCAGGAGTTCGAAACCAGCCTGAGCAAGAGCGAGACCCTGTCTCTACTATAAATAGAAAGAAATTAATTGGCCAACTAATATATATAGAAAATTAGCCGGGCATGGTGGCGCATGCCTGTAGTCCCAGCTACTCAGGAGGCTGAGGCAGCAGGATTGCTTCAGCCCAGGAGTTTGAGGTTGCTGTGAGCTAGGCTGATGCCACGGCACTCACTCTAGCCTGGGCAACAAGCGAGACTCTGTCTCAAAAAAAAAAAAAAATAATGAGGATACTATTATTAACTACAATGAACACTTACTGAGCACTTACTAAGTGCCAGGCCCTGTGTTAGACACTTACATATATTACCTCATTTAGTCTTCCCATACACCCCATGAGGTGGGGGCTAGGACTTTACTCATTGGATATGTAGGGAATGGCAGTCAAGGGAGGTTAAGTAACCTGCCCAGGCCCCCTGCCCATAAATAGGGAAATTGGAATTTGAACACCTTTAGTCTAATTTCAGAACTGGCCCTCCTAACAACTGCACTCTGCTGCCTCCCTATGGCCAACAAACAAGAAAGTAACCCCCAAAGCTCAAACACCTTTTTTATTTTTTTTTATTTTTTGAGACAGAGTCTCGCTTTGTTGCCTAGGCTAGAGTGAGTGCCATGGCGTCAGCCTCGCTCACAGCAACCTCAATCTCCTGGCTCAAGCAATCCTTCTGCCTCAGCCTCCCAAGTAGCTGGGACTACAGGCATGCGCCACCATGCCCGGCTAATTTTTTTATATATATATATATTAGTTGGCCAATTAATTTCTTTCTATTTATAGTAGAGACGGGGTCTTGCTCAAGCTGGTTTCGAACTCCTGACCTCGAGCAATCCGCCCGCCTCGGCCTCCCAGAGAGCTAGGATTACAGGCGTGAGCCACCACGCCTGGCCTCAAACACCTTTTTATTTGTTTAGGGATGGGGTTCCCCTCTGTCGCCCAGGCTGGAGTACAGTGGCATAATCATAGCTTACTGCAGCCTTGAACTCCTGGCCTCAAGTGATCCTCCTGCCTCAGCCTCTCAAGTAGACAGGACTGCAGGCACATGCCACCATACCCCACTAATTTTTATAGAGACAGGGTCTCACTATGTTGCTCAGGCTGGTCTCTAATTCCTGGCCTCAAGTGATCCTCCCACCTCAGCCTCCCAAAGTGGTGGGATTATAGGTGTGAGCCATGCAATGGGTCCCAAACATTTATTTATTTATTTTTGAGATAGAGTCTCACTCTATTGCCTGGGCTACAGAGCCATGGTGTCAACCTAGTTCACAGCAACCTCAAACTACTGGGCTCAAGCAATCCTGCCTCAGCCTCCCAAGTAGCTGGGACCACAGGCATGTGCCACTATGCCTCGCTAATTTGTTCTATATATTTTTAGTTGGCCAATTTCTTTCTATTTTTAGTAGAGACAGAGTCTCGCTCTTGCTCAGGCTGGTTTCGAACTCCCGACCTTAAGTGATCCACCCGCCTCTGCCTCCCAGAATGCTAGGATTACAGGCGTGAGCCACCGCGTCCGGCCGGGTCCCAAACATTTATTAAAAACACATTTGCCCTTAGGCCAGACTGATGATAAAACAATCAAACAAACAAACACACACAAAAAACATTTCCCTGCACTGTGTTTTCTGATTTCATACTCTGTCGGTCCAGAGACAAGAGTAGAAATGCCCCATTTTATGGGCTTCAGCAACATCCAGTGTGGCAGCAAGGAGCCCATAGGACCTAAGGTCTAGTCTCTCAATGTGGCAGGTCCCTCTTCGACTCCCAGCTGATTACCTGTCCCCACCAATGGCCACGCCCTCATAGACGCCATCCGTGGTGCGAGAGATGATGTTGTTGAGCTCGTTGGACATGCCTCCGGAACGGGACACGTAGGCCACGCTGCCTGGGCGGTACAGCTTGGAGGCCAGGATGTTGTCCAGCATCCCACCAGTATTCCCAATCTTAAAGCACCCAGGCTTGATGCCTCCAACCTGTGGGGCAGACACATCAGTCGGGGAGGAAATGACTTCCTGATTCACCACAGGGCTCAGAGGAATCATAAAGCCCTTGTGTTACCTGCCCAGGCCCTCTGGCCAGGTTGGGACAGATGGCCATGAAAACCTACCCACTGGATTTCCTGCATAGAAAGGATCTCCTCTCTCTCAAAAGACATTCCACAGGAAAAAAGAGAGCCTTATTTGTAAAACGTGGCTCACTACTTATACAGGTAAGTATACTGAAAGGTAAGTCCCTTTCCTTGCTCCAGAGGGGCTGCAGCATCCAGCAAAGGCAACAGACCTGTGCCTCTCTGCTCAAAATCACCCCTTCCCTGCCAGATGAAAGGTCCTTTGCTTAGTTTAAAAATCCTAGCTTCAACTTTTTAATGCAATAGCTAAGAAAAAACAAATAACAAAAACATTCAGAGCTTATGAGTTTTATATGAAGACCTTCTGGTCAAAAGCAAGGCCTCCAGGCAGCTTATTCTTTGGTTTATAGTTAAAGGAATAATCAAAGAATGTGCTATGGTTATATGAAGGTAGACAAACACTAAAGAAACCAAAAACCAAAACCAACTTCTCATTAGCCCCTTGAAACTATAAAGGTGATACTGACCAACGAGACAGCCCTTTAGAAAAGTAACTGGAAATTGACAGACTGACTTTCAACAGGGATTCCCTAAATCTTTCAACCTAGGAGGGAAGCAGAAGAGTCAAAAAGTCAGCTTTCTAAGGGTCCTGAACTTAAGATAGCCTCGCACTCTAAAGGCTTTCTGGGGGAGGGGACGCTCACAGTGGCTGGTCCGATGATGGTCACTCCCTTCTGGTCTGCCTTCTTGATCAGCTTCCTGGTGAGGGCCTCGGGGATGCCTTCGGCTATGATGGCGATGGTCCGGATCTGCAGGATGAGAACAGTCCCTTCCTGTTAACTGTCTCCGTCAGGACAATGAGACAGCGCTGTTCAAGGGCTCACTTCCCATGTCCCATGTCCCTTTTCAGGGTCTAAGGACAAAGTAACGTTAACAATATGCATCTCCTTCTTCCCACAGGCCCCTGTTCCTACCTTGATCACTCTAACTCTCTCCCAAAAAGAGAGGATGTGGACACCTGAAACTGATCTCCACTGGCCACCACCACAGTGATTTAGTACGCAAGCAGGACCAAATGCTTCTGAGACCCTCCAAAAATCACAGCAGCTACATTCTCTCTCACCCGAAAACTCAGACCTACCTGTTCACTACGTGTCCCTATGCCATCTCATAAGTCAGGTATTGTGGCTTTTCTCCACAGTACCTTCCATCTTGACGACATCCCCACAGCGCAGGGCCGCCGAGTAGGAGAAATGAGTTGCTTCCACACTCAGCCCAGAGAATGGGCAAGAGGGGGACAGAAATGACCCAAGAATCATCTCTGTTTGGCTACAAACCATGGCCAGTGAACTTCTGCAAAGAGTTGACGTAGTATTTTAGGTTTTGTGTGTTATATGGTCTCTGGCAGTTTTATTTTTTAAAAGATGGGGTCTCATTCTGTCACTCAAACCAGAGTGCAGTGGTTCAATCACAGCTCACTGCAGCCTTGAACTTCTGGGCTGAAGGGATCCTTTGCCTCAGCCTCCCAAGTAGCTGGGAATATAGGTGTGTGCCAACCACACCCAGTTCATTTTTCTTATTTTTTTGTAGAGACAGGGTCTTGCTATGTTGCCCAGGTTGGTCTCTAACTCCTGGCCTCAAGGGATTGTCCTGCCTTGGCCTCCCCAAGTGCTGGGATTACAGGCATGGGTTTTAAGTGTGAAAGTAACCACGGATAATATCTAAATGAGAGCATGGCTGTGTTTTAATAAAACTTTATAGGATTATTCTCCAACCAGAAACTGAAATGAGCCAACCTGGGTTCAGAAGGTAATTTTGAACAAAATAATCAATATCCTAATTTATAAGTGGCTTTTACAAGTCAATAACAACAACAACAAAAAGACAAACACCCCAGTAGAAAAAACGGGGAGGGAAAGCCAATAACAGAATACAAATGGGCCATGTTTTCTAAAGGTCATCTTAGTAAATAACCAAAAGATATGCAAATTAAATGGAATGGGGGGGGGTTGTTTTTTTTTTTTTGAGACAGATTCTCACTCTGTTGCCCAAGCTAGAGTGCCCATGGCGTCAGCCTAGCTCACAGCAACCTCAAACTCCTGGGCTCAAGCAATCCTTCTGCCTCACCCCTCCTGAGTAGCTGGACTACAGGCATGCGCCACCATGTCCGGCTAATTTTTTCTATATATTTTAGTTGGCCAATTAATTTCTTTCTATTTATAGTAGAGACGGGTCTTGTTT